TATAAATTGCTCTTAATAGCTAATCTGTCATCCCAGCTTCTCATACCAGAAAGCTTGTTTCCTTATTAATCTGTTAATTTGCATCTGCAAAGGACATTTACAAATCCTTGGTTTGAAAACATTGCAACATTAATGCTGGGCATTATAAATAATTTATCACCTGTGATAGCAAGTCTTAGGTCTAGGTAATAGATCTTTTTGACATTGTATTATTCTTCCAACCCTAATATAATTTTGATAAAAAAATAATTATTATGAAAGCTCCTCTCTCCCCCACCCCACATAAGAAAGGGCTGACAGGTTACCATGGAGAAGCTGTAGCTATCATTCATAGTTCTCTCAGCTCATACTCAAACCAGGGACTCCTCTATTGTGGTAGAAGAGAATCAGACAGCACAATGTTTCCTTTTCTGGGACAGTTGAAGAATGTTCCTCCAACCCTAGGTTTAGCTGTTGGGACAAACTGGGTGTATTGATTATGGCAAACTTGACAGCAGTTGTTGAGCATGTAGAGCCTGAAAATAATGTAAAACTTCTCAAGACCTTGTAATTGGAGGTTTCTGTATGTGGCAGTTAAATACCTCTTTCTCCTCACTCCTTCCCCCTCCTCTTCTTCCTCTCCCTCTTCTCCTTTTCCTGCATCTTAGAGATTCCATTTAGCAAACTCTCTCCACCAAGATCCTTAAAATTGAGCTGTTCAACATTTGTAGTTTATTAATTTGTCTACTTTATCCCAAGAAGCATTTGTGAAGGCAGGAAGGAAACTATGAAGGGGAGAGATCAGAGTAAGGGTCAGGTCATTAGTGGGAGGCACATTTTTGGAGTCTATCTGGCTGCTAAAAGCAGGCTCTGGGTCTGCCCATAAGCTTCCCAGTAGCCAGAGAGAGGGGTGAATCACATCAGTGCAGAGAGAAGCAATGGGAACTGTACATTTTTTTCTAAAACATCTTTAATAAGATTATAAAATTTCCTTGTTGTAATTGTCTAAATGGTCTTGTGTGTCTACTGAGTGAGCAATTGCAGGAGTTTGTGAGCATCACTTAACCTTTGAACAGAATTACTTATAAGTCCAGATGCTGATGAGGTCAATTTTCAGGTATACCCATTAAACAGGGAGCATATGTCATTTAGGACAAGTCTCACAGAACATGGTTCAGTCTTCTGTGTCTACTAGTTTATGTTCCAGTGGCTTTTGGTTTCCCCCAAATGACCCAGTGATTTGGATAAAGATTACCTAAGTCTGGTCTGGGTATCCAAGTATTTTCAAATGCAATTTTTCTGTGAGAATGCCTAAGATTTCATCATATAGCAACTATAGATACCTGGTACATAATTAGATCACTAGATAGTTAACTATCCATAGGTAACTCTACCTAATCTGTTTCCTGGAGGAGGAAATTACTAATTTGTGTTCAGTGTGGTTATTAGTCAGGACTGTTCAGATTATGCTACAATAACAACCAATTCCAAAATCTCAGTGGCTTAAAACAATGAAGGTTTACTTTAATGAATATACAGGAATCTAAACCATATTGACATGTGTCTCACTTGATATCAATTCTAATGGAATGGTCCATCTATCAAAGAGAAAGTAAAGTATGGCAAAGCATGCACTGGTTCTTACATGTGCATCCTGCAGTCCTGGAAACAATCACAATAACTTAACCAAGCTAGGCACACAGTCATCCACACTTGACTTCATGCAGACAGAGTTGCCCTGGACAAGATAGGCCAGCATACAGATCAATGGCCCCAGAAACTACCCTTGTTGTAATTACAACTTAAAATATACCTACTATGTTCTAGGGATTTTTTTTTTTTTTGGTATGTGTGTGCTACTCCTGGGGTTTGAACTTAGAGCCTGGGCACTGTCCCTGCTACCATTTAAGCCACAGCTCCATTTATGGCTGTTTTGGTGCTTAATTGGAGAAAAGGTTTTCATGCCTGGGCAGGCTTTGAACTGTGATCCTCAGCTCTCAGCCTTCTGAGTAGGTAGGATTCCAAGTGTGAGCCACCAGCACTGGCTCTCGTCATTATTTTGTTAAGCATGTTGTTGCTATTTTTGCCTATCTCTCAGCTTTTCATCTGATTCATAGAAATAGGAAACAATCCCACCACTCCCCAGCGGAAACCTGCAGTCACTCCTACGGCACTGTAACTGTGAGTTTATCCGTAGAGGCTGAACTCTGTGGAGCCAATCGACCCCAAGAGTCTGATGGGTGTGGACCTAACCCCTGGCACTGTTATTAATTTGTTCTTTGAGTCTTTGCCTCTTCAAATGCAATTTTATCTCACAAGTGGGTATAATTATGTGCACTTAAGAGATTTTCCTTAATGATCAAGTGAAACTGTTTATGTGAAAAATGATTGAGATTTTACAAACTGGTGGACAGAACATACCTCCCCAGGCCCTCCTCCTATCACCAGCCCTGCTCTCTGCTCTCCACCGAGCAGCTCCTCCTTCTCATGACAAGCTCCGTCAGAGTTCCCCTCTTTGTGAACAGTTTCCATTTCCTAAAACAACCCACTCCCCCAAGAAAGAAAACTCAATTTATTTATTTCTTTTGTAATAGTAGGCTTTGGAGCAGAAAAAAGAGGAAACAATACAAAGAATTCTCACATATTACTCTCACGCTCAGTCAGCTTCTCCTTTCATTAATATGCGTGCATTAATATGCTTCATGTATCTCAATTGACGAGCCAAGATTGATAATCTTGCTGTTAGCTGAAGTTCATTATTTACATCTGGCTTCACCATGTTGTACAAGTCTATACAATACCACACACCCACCTTATAATGCCATGAAGAATAGTTAGATTGCTCTGAGAATCCCTGTGCTCCACCTCCTTCCCCCTCCTACTCCCAGATCCCCAGACCCACTAGTCACTGACCTTTTCCACTACACACAGCATGTGCCATTTTAGACTGACCTCTATGAGTAGCAATTCCACAGTAGCACTACACATTTAGGGTCTTCTCCATACCTTTTCCTGGCATGGAATTGATAGGAAATTTCTTTTTAGCACTGACATGTGTATGTTCTACTATACTTTATATCCATTCATCTCTGGCTGCCTGGTTGCTTCTAGTTTTTGCTTTTGTTTTATTGAGACAGGGTCTTACTATGTAGCCTAAGCTGATCCTCTCCCCCCACCTTCTAAATGCTGGGATTACAGGTATGTACCACAGCCCCTTCCAGTTTCCATCCATTATGAATAAAGTAACTATAAAGATTTGTGGGTAGGTTTTGTGTAGACACGCATGTCCAGGTCATGGGGGTGAATACCTGGGACCAGAATTGTTGGGTCAGATGGTAAGACTAGATTTAGAGCTTTCCCATCTGTTTTCCATTCCTACCAGCAGTGAATAAGAGGTTTTCTTGCCCCACTTCCCCATCAGTATTTGGAGTTGCCTAGGCTGTTCTAATAGGTGTACAGCAGCACCTTGCAGCCCATGCCCTTCTAACACATGTATGTTGACACCTAGCAGCCTGTGCCATTCTAACATATGTACAGCGGCACCTGGACGCAGTATGCAATTTCCTGGTAGCGGGCATTGTTGATCATCATGTGTTTCACATGTTTCCTTGCCATCTGTATCTAGTGAGCTGACTTCAGATTGTTTGCTCTTTTAAAAATTACTTCCTTGGGGCTGGGAAGGTGGCTCAGTGGTAGAGCGCTTGCCTTGCATGCCAGAGGCCCTGGGTTCCATTCCTCAGCACCACATAAGCAAAAAGAAAAAAAGCCGGAAGTGGCGCTGTGGCTCAAGTGGTAGAGCGCTAGCCTTGAGCTGAAGAGCTGAGGGACAGCGCCCAGGCCCAGAGTTCAAGCCCCAGGACCAGACTCCCCCCCCAAAAAAAAAAAACCTGGACTGGGAAAGTGGCTCAGTGGTAGAGTACCTGTCTTGCATGCATGAGGCCTTAGGTTTGATTCCTCAGCACCACGTAAGCAGAAAAAGCCAGAAGTGGTGCTGTGGCTCAAGTGATAGAGCACTAACCTTGAGCTGAGGAGCTGAGGGACAGCACCCAGGCCCAGAGTTCAGGCCCCACGACCGGACCAAAAAAAAAAAAAATTATTGTCGGTGGCTCACACTTGTAATCCTAGCTACTCAGAAGGCTGAGATCTGAGGATCATGGTTCAAAGCCAGCCCAAGCAAGAAAGTCCATGAGATTCTTATCTCCAATAAACTACTCCAAGAAAGCTAGAAGTGGTGCTGTGACTCAAATGGTAAGTGGTGCTGTGGCTCAAATGGTAGAGCACTAGCCTTGAGCTGAAGAGTTGAGGGACAGCGCCCAGGCCCAGAGTTCAGGCTCCACAACCCAACCCCCCCAAAAAAAATTACTTCCTTTCTTGTTGATACTTTGTGTTTAGGGCACAAAGATTTCTTGTCATGTATGTATCTTGCAAATCTTTTCTGTAACTTTTTTTTTCATTCTCTTAACAATGCTTTTCATAGAACACAAATTTTTAGTTTCAATTAAGTGTAACTTATCAAATTTTTTCATGCTTTTGGTATAATACCATATAACTCATTGTCCAAACCAAGAAAACAAAACTTTCTCTTATGTTATCTCCTAGGAAATTTATAGTTTTGCATTGTATATTCAACAGTGTGATCCATTTCAAGTTAACTTCTGTGAAAGGTGTAAGGTTGAGGTCTCAATTCTTGTCCTAATACATAAGTGAATGAAAAAATGAATTAGCCAAGCAGCAAACTCAAAACACTCTAGCTCTTGAGCCAGTGTGTGCTCCAGAGTTAGTATTTCTGTTTGTGAGGCCTTCTGTCTGCTGGGCTGTGAGCAGTGTACAGAGATGTACAGAGATATGGGGCTGTGTGTCCACTGCATGGTTGGCAGTAGATACATGGCGCATGTGGACTAGGTTAATTAGAAGGAACAGCAGTATTTCTGCTACTAGCTGCAGGTACATTTCCCCTTTTTTCCAACTACATGCAATTAGTCAGTCTGCAATTATATTGAATATTCACTCCTCTCACAAAGTATAACCCTTATGAAAAATACAGCAAGGTGAAACCCGTGCTAGATAGAGGAAACCATGTAAGATAATAGTGTCATCCAGGTTGTCATAGTTTGGATAGTTTAAACTTTTTATTTTTCAAGGTAAAAAACTATACAGGTGCTTTGAAAAAAAAAAGATGAGCAAATTTCCAGCTCTCGCTTTAGGTTCCACAAAGCTAACTTACCAAATGTGGTTCTTCTGCAAATATTTGGGTCACAGAGCAAGGAACGCCTGACCCCATGTGCCCAAGTCTGCAGCTGGAAGTGATGTTTTGGCAAGAGCATAAGTAATTAGTCTTGTAGAGAGAGAAAACTATTGTCTTATTCCAACCAGATAGTTTGTTAGCATAACTGTGTGTATGCATTTTAGTATTCAAATACAGATGTTCTAAAATGTTTCCACTGTGGGAAGCAGCTGCTGCTGTTCGAGCACAAAACTCTCAGAGAGATTAATACACCACGCAGCATGAACCTCAGCAGCAAACAGCGTCTGCTTGAAGTGGGCCCACGATTCCCGGGCACAGTGAGTGTGGGTTTTCAGATCCTCATTAACAATCCGAACCCCTGTTTCAGATCTACGCTAATTCCACAGTAGCAGGAGCAAAGACAAGTGATTAATTTGTAATCCACTCAGCTGATAAATACCATCTCTTGTTATTTTCCTGGGGGCATTTTGTAAATAAAGCAGGCAAGGGAAAGGTAAAATGTCTTATCAGGGAGGCACAGCCAGGGCTTCTGATGCTAAGTCCTATTCCACCCTTACCCTCTTCCCAGCTGCTTCTCCCATTCTGGAAGCTATGATGTCTGCATCATGAATTATAGTCCTTCCCAGAGATGTGGGTCAGCAGGACCCCCACCATCTAGATCCCCCCACCAGACAGCACTGCCTGGTGCCTGGAGGAGGCCAGGGAAGAGCTTGTGTTCTCATCCTCCCCACTCCCCACATCTCAGGAGAGAGGTGCCCCCATATTCCCTCTCCTTATGTTCAGAGAGCTTGCTAAGCCAGTTCCCGTGCCTCCCTGGCATTTAGAGAAACAAAGAAACAGAAGCAGAGGATCCCAGGGCCTTCATTTGGAGTTGCCATAAACCAGGAGTTTCTGAGAACAGTGATGCCTGGGGTTCCATGCCCGCCCCAAGCCTTATAAATCCATCCCCTGCAGTGCTGAAGGCCTCATTGCCTCCAACAACATCTACTATTTGGAGCTATCTAGTGAATTATTTATGGTTCTCACATTTGACAGGGGCTCAGAGCTGAGTTTGAAACAGCTCTTGGCTTGTGGCTGGAGCCTGGAAATGTCTGGCTGACAAACAATGGCTCAGAGAGGTTCCATTGCTACAGATCCCAGACTTGAGAATGGAGTAGCGCCCCCCTGACGAAAACACGTCCGGTTCTGGCCTGCCCTGGCTTCGCGTGCGCAAGAGCTTCTGCCTTTTACCATGAGGGCGTCCAGAGTTGGACTGTGGTCCCCTAGCCAGGCTTGAGTGGAAATGAACCAAAAAAAGAAGGAAGGTGGGAAGGGTTCTGAAGGTTCTGAAGAAGGGGACGGAAGTCACATCTCTGGGCCTGCAGCAAGGGAGGAAGTATTATGGGAGATGAGCAGAGGACAGCCCCAGATATGAAGTCCTGACTTGAAGTTTTAAGGCAGGCCTAATGAGACGTTCCAGGTGAGAGCGCTAGGCCATTCTGGGGCAAGTGGTTGCTGGTTAGTGTTGCTGCTGCTGTGTTGATGGCTCTCTCCACTCTGGACAAAATAGAAAAGTATCAGTTTCCTGTCTTCTAAATCTTTTTGTTAGAACATCTGTGACATGATAAAAACAACTTTGAACAATTCTCAACGCTTTGCAAATATACTATTCACATGTAGTGTAGAAGTAAGAATGGTCTCTCAGCATTTGACCAAAGCTGCTAGTTCACAAGGAAAGAACATAGGGTGGCACGTCCTTCATATGTATAAACTATGACTGTCTGTGCTCTGAAGTTCACAGACATAGAACACAGCTTGTACAGAGATGCCTGTCCTCGGCTAGGTTGGTATTATCTCATTGCTATTCTCTAGCCAGGGGCCGTTGGAACACGGCTGCCCTGCATGTGATTGCACGCACCCTTTGTTCCCCTAGGATCACATGTGCCTGCCACACAGGGGAGCATGGTGAAGAAAGGTGCTACATAGCCCTTAGCTGAAGATACAAGTGAGAAAGGGAACGAATCATCATGCTTCCGATTTTTAGAATTAAAAAGAAGGCAGAAAAAGCCCAGAAAAACTTCCCTTTTGTATCTCAACAAAGGAGTTAGAAACTAAAGGTTAAAATGCACGGCAGTGGGCACTGGGTGAGAGTCTATCTTTGATGTCCCTGTGTGGTGCATGACACTGACATAGGGTGATTTTCACTAAGAACTTAAGACAGAAAGGATTTGTGTTCTTTGAAGGAGTTGGTGAGTGGCAAGCAGCAGGAAGGGTCTGAGGAGGGAGCATCCCTGGGCACAGAGGAGCTGGGGTTAGGAAAACCCCTAGGCAAGACGGAAAAGGTAAAAGCCTGGAGAATGGGGAGGCTCCCACACCCACTCAGAATTATCACTGTGCAGCAATATTTTCCTCTGATTCTCATCGAAGCTGAAGGCCTCCCTGGTCACCAGCACTGGTCATGTCACACTAAAGGGCCAAGGTAAAAGCAGGACCCCTTAATGGGTCATAGGTCATCGTGGAAAACATCTTCTTCCCCATTAATACATCCATTTGCTTCAGAGGACCAGAGTGGAGAAACATGTAGGAGTGCAGCAGCCAAACAGGGATTTCTCCTAGAACTGTCCTGGGCTCTGTCATATGTTATGAATTAATTTCAGCTTGCTCCAACATTTCTTTTAGACTATAGAGGTTAATAGGTGTTAACAGAGCTGAACTATCACAGAAAATACTAGATATATCAGTAAGCCAGCCAGCCACTAGTAGCTCATGCCTATAATCGCAGCTACCCAGGAAGCTGAGATCTGGCAGATCACAGTTGGAAGCCAGCCCAGGCAGGAAAAACTCTGAGAGACTCTAGCTCCAATTAACCAATAAGAGAGCTGGACTATAGTTGTGACTAAGGGGTAGAACACCAGCCATGAGAAAGAAAAGTAAGCCAGAACTTGAAGTCCTGAATTCATGCTCCCTTATAAAGAAAAAGATGGATGGATGGACGGACAGATGGGCAGGCAGGCAGTCAGGCAGACAGACAGACAGACAGACAGAGGGGAGAGCAGAGAGAGTATATCAATAAGTCTTTAAGATGAAAGTTGCATGCAGCACTGCCTGTTTCTGTGAGATTGGGTATGGAACGCTACTGATTAAGTAGCCATTGTCTTCTGCTGGAAGCTAGCTCTTGGAAGTCCCGTTTATCGCCTCTGCTAGGTCTGTAGCCCACTGATAGAAGTACCATTAGGAACTACATTGATAGTTGCAGGCGAACTCGGTGAAACTTTATCTGCTAAACAAACCCAAGCCACTGTCTGATGTATATTTGTTTCTCTGCCACATCCTCTCTCTCCAGGCAGCTTCATCTGCCCTGAGCAGTCTGGGCCATGTATACACAGCCATTGGAGACTATCCCAATGCCCTTGCCAGTCACAAACAATGTGTTCTTCTCGCCAAGCAATCCAAAGACGAACTTTCTGAAGCCCGAGAACTTGGCAACATGGGGGCTGTGTATATCGCCATGGGAGACTTTGAGAATGCTGTGCAGTGCCATGAACAGCACCTGAAGATAGCCAAGGACCTGGGGAATAAGCGAGAGGAGGCCCGTGCCTACAGCAACCTGGGCAGTGCCTACCACTACCGGAGGAACTTTGACAAGGCCATGTCTTACCACAACTATGTGCTAGAGCTGGCACAGGAGCTGATGGAGAAGGCCATTGAGATGCGGGCCTATGCCGGCCTGGGCCATGCTGCCAGGTGCATGCAGGACCTCGAGAGGGCGAGGCAGTACCATGAACGGCAGCTGGGCATCGCTGAGGACCTCAAGGATCGGGCTGCAGAGGGGCGCGCATCCTCCAATCTGGGTGAGTGCAGGGTTGCTTGCAAGACCCCAGGTAATATATGGGTTGGAAATAGTGGGAGTAGTTCTCTGTCTTTACAGGATTCTGTGTTTTAATTCAACACAATCTGCTCATTGTGTTCATCTTCCCCTCAGCTATATTCCCCTAGGAGCCTGCCTGCTGTAACTCACACGCTCTTTCCTGTCATCATAGCTCTCTAAGCACTAGAACTCTGAAGTACTGGGAAAACAAAGCACCCAGCCTTTTAATCTGTCTAGAGAGAAGAGCACAGATTTATCTAATTAGAGAGAAGGGAATGAAGATGATATAAGGCTATGTTTGCTTTAAGTGAAGGAGATACTGCTAGAAAGTCATCAAGGCGAGAGAATTGGAGAGAATTTCTGCTTCCAGAGATTTCTTGACTTGGCAAATTAGCTTCACAGGATATTTTGTCTTCAAAATTATATGTATTCATAAACAATATTGATGTTAGTATAAATGCAAAATGATCTTTGTGAAAGATCTCCTTAAAGAATGTCTATAGTCATTGTTTTGTTAGTACTTGGTGGCAATTAAGACATTGACAGTTCCTGCAGGGTGGTAAGCATAATGAGTAGTTGGTAACTCCCAATCTTCTAGAAGATAGTGTTAGATTGTCTCTATGTCCGGCTGGATGCAGTGGGTACTTAATGAATGGACATAAGGATGTGTTGATGGACTGAATCCATCCTTGTGCCCAGAGCTTCTCATTGTTCTGTGCCCACAAGGACTCAAGGCGAGGAAGGACAAAGAGGAGGTGGTCCTGGTTCACAGCCAGGATGTTTGTAGAGTTCAGCCTCCTTTTCTTGTGTGAACTACCAGACCAAGGCGACTCCATCTCCACTGATGTCAGCATAACACTTCTGCTCCTACCCCCTCCTCTGATCATTTTAACCATATATGTCTTGAATAGTTGTTAGAGAAAGACCTTCATATTCCTAGAATTGGCTCGAGATGTGAAGATGGCACTGAGTCCAGAATGTGGTCTAGAGAATCTGGCAAGCCAAAAATAGGTTCCTGCTTTAACAATTCATTTAGCAGATGACAAGCGCTTATTAAACCTTTACCATATGCTCAGTCCTGAATAATTGTTTAAGGGGGGACAGATAATCCTTACCTTCAGAGAGCTTATAATTGTGATAGGATGACAATGCAGGATGGTGGCAAAAGCAGCTTCAGGAATGTGCTAGAGAGTGACAGAAGGTTAGTGTGAGGTCTGGACAAGGATATGTCTGTGAACAAGAGCCTCAGGAAGTTGTGAAGTGAGAAAAAGAGGAGGAGTCAAGCTGTGGCATGTAGGAGAGATGGGAAGGCCTGGGGCCTCCACTTGAAATAGTTGTGCATGTTAGACTATTCAGGTTTTCCTCTTCCTCCTGTGTCAGCTTTCACAAGTTGTATTTTTCAAGAGCTAGTCATTTCATCTAAGCTATTGCATTCAGGGGCCTAGAGTTGTTAATAATGTTGGTCTATCATTCTTTTAATGATCATAGGCCACATGGGGAAGTACTCTCCTTCATTCCTGAGAGTTTGTGTTGTGTTCTCCATATTGTCTCTCTCTCTCTCTCTCTCTCCCTCTCCCCCCCTTCTCTCTCTCTTTCTTTCTTTCTCTCTCCCCCTCTCTCTCTCTTGTCAGTCATGGGGCCTGAACTCTGGGCCTGGGCACTGTCCCTCAGCTAGCACTCTACCACTTGAGCCACAGCGTCACTTCTGGCTTTTTCTGCTTATGTGGTGCTGAGGAATCAAACCCAGGACCTCATGCATGCAAGGCAAGCACTCCCACTGAGCCACCTTCCCAGCCCCTCCATTCTCTTGATACTTTTAAAAGAACCAGCATTTGTATTTCCTCTGAATACTCATTTACCTATATACCACAACTTTAATTGACCTTAAAATTTTAAATCAAATCTAAGATTTTTTTATCCATTAAGAATTGTTTAATTTGAAAACATTTTGGGACTTGTATGTATGATGTACTTGGTTTTACTTTATCACTGTACAAAGGAATTAAAAAGCATTTTTTCTTACTAAGCACTGGTGGCTTATACTTCTAATCCTGGCGACTCAAGTGACTGAGATCTGGAGGATCGTGGTTTGAAGCTAGCCCAGGCATATATAATCCTCTAGAGTCTATATCTAATTAACCAGCCAAGAGGTGGGCTTGAGGAATGGCACAAGTGGTAGTGTTCTAACTGTGATTTCTTTTAAAGAGGGAATATGTTGCTAGATACTGTATTGTTGTGTTATCAGATTTTGTTTAATTTTATTGTGATCAGAGCCTGTGATCCATAGATAGCTTTTTCAGAGGGTGTGGCACAGGGCTGTAAGATGACACATGAGCCCAGGTAGTACATACTGTTGTTCATATCACCCATGCCTTTCTTTATTATTATGATGAATCAATTGCCAAGAAAAGAGTTGTTAAAAATCTACAAATTGCTGGGCGCCAGTGACACACCCCTGTAATCCTAGCTACTCAGGAGACGGAGATCTAAGGAGCACGGTTCAAAACCAGCCCAGGCAGGAAAGTCTGTGAGACTCTTATCTCTAATTAACCACCAGAAAACTGGAAGTGGCGCTGTGGCTCAAGTAATAGAGCACTTGCTTTGAGCTGAAGAGCTGAGGGACAGCATCCAGGCCCAGAGTTCAAGCCCCACAACACTCCCCCATCCAAGAAAATCTACAAATTATTGTGGATTTGTTTGTTCCTACTTGTAATTCTGTGAAACTTAGCTTCACGTATTGTGCTGCTCTCTTATTGGGCCATATCCATGTATAAACAGTTGGTCCTTTTGTCATTATGGACTGTCTCTTATCTTTGATGACACCCTTCTGTCTTGAAGTCTGCTTGATCTGATTCTGATATGCCAACTTCCACCTTCCTGTGCTTACTATTTCTGTGATTCATCTTCTCCTTCTATTTATGTTGTTTATTTTTCTGTGTTATTTGTGTGTGTGTGTGTGTGTGCATGTGCGTGCGCACACGCACGTGTGTACTGAGGCTTGAACTGTCCGTTAGCTTTTTAGCTCAAGTCTGTTGTTCTACTGCTGAGCCTCAGCTCCATTTCTGGATTTTTGCTGGCTAATTGGAGATAAGAGTCTAGGGAGGTCTTTTGTGCCTGCGCTGGCTTTGAACCTTGGCGCTCAGATCTCAGCCTCCTGAGTAGCTAGGATTACAAGCCTGAGCCACCAGTACCCAATTATAATTGTTCTAGTAACTCTGGTATCACTGAGACAGAGTTCCTGACAACTAGTTAAAGGAGCAAGATTTACACCGTTCACAATTTTGGGGCTCTGTCATGGTTGCTGGCCCTGTGTGTTTGTTTGGGGAGAATGAAATGGCAGTGGGAGTGCATGGTGGTCACCTCATGGTGGACACAAAGCAGAGAACAAGGAAGGGACCAGGCATAACCTTCAAAGGGACAACCCCTAGAACCACTTCCCCTCACTCAGCTGCCCCTCCTAGTTTCGACCACCTCTCCCAGCTGGGACCAAGCATCTAGCATATGGGCCAGCCCATCAGGGAGTGTTACACAGCCAAATCATAACAGTTTTTTTTTTTTGCCTGTATCAAGGTTTGAACTGAGGGCTTTGTGTGCTTGCTTACCTTGCATGCTCAGCTGATGCTCTATACTTGAGCCCTACCTCTGGTCCAGCTTTTGATGATTAATTAAGTATAGAGTCTCTCAGACTTTTCTTCCCTGCTGGCTTCAAACTGCTATCCTCTGGATACCTCCTGAGTATTTAAGATTACAGCTATGAGCCACCAGTGCCCAGCTTGCAACATAGCCTTTTAACTAAAGAATTTCTTCCATTTAATATGTAACAATTAGTTTTTGTTAAATTTAGATTTATTCTTCTATTGGATTTTCATTGGTCTTATTTGTATTTTTCCCTTTTGCTTTTCTTTTTCTGTTTTCCTTGGGTTAATTTAACCTTTTAGACTGCATTTTATGTATTTACTTTTTAGCTCTACTTCTTTGCATTGTTTTTCAGTGATTTCTCTAAAGATTACATCATGTAACTAGGCATACTGATGCTCATCTGTAATTCTGCCATTTGGGATGTAAAGGCAAAAGGATTGCAAGTTCAAGATCAGCTAGGAATAAATAGATAGTGAGTCTAGTCCAGTCTGGGTTATGAGACTAGAGTTTTAAATAAGCAAAGAAGTCAACAAAAAAGATTATATGCTATGTTTTCTGTATAATCTACTAGAAGCTAGTATCAGAATGTTTCCTGTGCAGTCTAAGCATCTTGAACTTTGTAAGTTCATTTGTTATACCTTCTGGACTTCATGCTTTAGTTGGCACATATATTCCTATCCTTTGCTTTTTTTAGACCCTACAATACAATGTTAGAGTTTGTCTTAAACCATTTTAAACCATCATTTTAATGATGTAAGAGGAAAAGCAATGTTATATGTTTGTCACTTAAGAGTTATGTCTAGTTCTCATTCATTCCTGAGTATTTGAGTTTGGTGTGGTCTTACTTCCCTTCATCCTAGACGACATTACTTACCATGGATGATTTTTTTTAAGTTATGAAAGTAGTACATACTTTTATGAAAATAATTCTTACAATACCAAATGTATAAAATTTAATGTCTATATTCCCCCTGTATTAGTAATTGGTTTGGATCTTTACAGACCATTTTACATGCCTGTACCATCCCTATGCAAACACACACGTGCCTGGATCATTGCATGCTCTTCTGCAGCCTGCAGGTTTAAGCCATCTCCACACTGCGCTTGCCTGCTCTCTGTGGTCAGTTACCTCCATTACTGTCATGACTGCCTTCCACCATGGAAAATGTGGGAGTTCTGTGTTCTGGTCCATCCTTGATTCTATTCTGTTCTTTCTGTGCCCATCTTCCTTCATCATTCCTCCTTGCCCCTTGACTTCTGCTTGGTTACCTGCTGCTTCTAAATCTATACTTAGCCCTCTGACCTCTTTTCCTCTACCTAGTGGCTCTTCCATCTGAGTCTCAT